CTCTACTATCCTTCCCTACATGACCATCTCAGTCCCCTCCTAAAAAGGTCCTCTCTCCATTTGCTTTGTCTTGGACTATCCCAACTATGTCCTCCCAAAATTCTCTCTTAATTCTATCATCTAATCCTACTTGTGGTGCATAAACACTAATTACATTAATTATCTCTTCCCCTAATACAAGTTTAGTTAATAAGAGCATATCACCTATTCTTTTCATATTAACTGCTTTATCATTTAAATCTGTCTACTATTATGCCTACGTTGTTTCTGTTATTATGCTTTCCTGTATACGAAAGTTTATATCCATCGATTTCTTTAGCTTTTTCTCCTTTCCCTTTAGTTTCTTGTAGACAGACTATGTTTACTCTCCTTCGTCTCATTGTATCCACTAACTCCATACGTTTACCTGTAAGCGTTCCTACATTCCATGTGGCTAGATAAATCCTATTCTCTTGGACTAGCTTCTTTACCCGCGCTTGTCCAGGATGTCGTGGGAACCCTTGCCAATTTTTTACTGCAACCGGGCGACACTATGGCATGTCGCTTCTGGGGAATGCCCTAGCTAACCTTTGCTCATTTCTCACTGTGCCCGGGGTCAGGTACAACGTGTTGCTTTTGGGGAGCACCCTAGCTACCCCATACTCATTTTTCATTGTACTCGAGTTCGGGACAACACGTTTCTTCTGGGAAACACCCTAGCATAAACAAATATTGTCGGTTCAGAATTCATGATAAGTTTTGGCAAAATTTTACGTTGGCTGCCTACCTAACACAACCCAGCCCCTTTACCCGGGCATGGGACGGGTTAAAAGAAAGTTTAAGGTCATCATCCTTCTTAAACCATAGGCTCTACTATAATTATTTTCAGGAAAATTTGTTAAGGTCTTGTTATGGCGAATTTTTTGCCACAATTATAAGTGTACAAATGCTTTGTAAGCGCTGATAGAAGCTTGTAGTATTCTTTACTTGGTCGAGTATTTGTAAGTCTATAATAGTGAGGCTTAACATGGACCAAAGTCTTCTTGAGAAACTTAAAAAGTAATGCCTTATGCCAGATTCTTCCTAATAATTTGCTGAATGCTTGTTCCCTATTTTCTCTGTGCTGGTGGTTAGTGTTGTTAGATGTGGAGCTGCCAATTAATTTGCTTGTGGATGATTTGATAATAAAACCCATTGAATCAACTAAAAAACCTGTTGCATTTAGTCCTTTTTCTATTTTAAAATTTAGGAGATGGTTTGAAGATTGGGAAACTTAAAGAAAAAACAAGAACTTAAACAAAAAAATTCCTAAAGATATTTTTATTTACAAATTGTAAGTAACAAATCTCAGCCCTCAGCCCCCTCATAACCCATCTTCAGTATGTAGACAACACACTTGTTTTCCGCAAAGCATCCCCCATCGAGGTTGACACCAGTCTTCTCTTCCTCAAATGCTTCGAATGGACTGCCGGCTTGAAGGTCAAAATGTCTAAGAAAAAAATGATAGGGGTTGCCCTTGACCTCCCTTCCACTCCGGCCCTCACCGACCGATGGGGCTGTTGTGCCAAGAATCTCCCCACCACCTATCTTGGCCTCCCACTTTGTCTTGGCAAACCCAAACATAGACTTTGGGCTCATCTAGTTAGAAATTTGGTCAAAAGTTCGTTTTATGGAAGGGCCTTTGCCTATCAATGGCTGGTCGAGAAACTCTTATCAAGGCCACTTTGTCCAATTTGCCTATGTACCAAATGTCCCTCTTTCTCATGCCATCTTCCATTCGCTCTCGTCTTGAGCAAGTCATGCGAAATTTCTTATGGACCGGATATGACCAACTCTGGAAAATTCATTTAATCTCATGGAAAAAAATCTGTTTACAACGCAACTGTGGAGGTCTTGGCATTCGGGCTCTTAAAACAGCAAACTTAGCTTTGTTGGGAAAGTGGTGGTGGCGCTTTGCCACCCAAGACAACCATCTCTGGAAGACTGTAATATGCCAGCAAATCCTCTGGTATTTGGTGCACTCTCCTTGGTATTCTCCATCCTTTCAAAGCCCTTACTCGACTCCACCCAAGATCCGGCACTCATATAAGGTTTTGGCACGACCTTTGGATTGGCCAATCCCCTCTCAAAGACCTCTTCCCCTCTCTATTTCCTCCTTGATCTTTATCGAATGGCCTCGGTAGCTGATCACTTCCCGTCATTGGGGCTCCCTAGAACATGGTCTCCTACATTCCGGCGTTCAACTTCAGAGGCAGAAGTGCCGGCTCTCCACTCTTTTTCACTCTATATTCCTTCTGCTATGTGCTCCCGACAAGATCATCTCGTGCCCATCACCTGCGGTCATTTCTTAGTTTCTCCCCACTTTCCCTCATGCCCTATCCCCCCCTCCCAGGTTTCACTTGGATTGCCCTTGCCAAGAGGGCTCTCACGGTAGATCAATTGCAGAGAAGAGGCTACCCATCCCCAATTGATGCACCCTTTGTTATGAGGTGGAAGAAACCAATTCACACCTTTTTCTCCATTGCCATTTCATTCATCAATGTGGGCGCCCTACTATGACTTTTCGTTTGGCAATGGGCGACTCCATGCTCGGTCTGTTCCCCCTTTTCATTATTCCACCCTCTTCCCTGGGCAAAATCTGGCACAGTGCTACGGAAGGTGTCAAATGCAGCCTTAATTTGGAACATTTGGATCAAACGCAACAACAGGATTTTTTGGGGGGAACCCTCTTCCCCGACAGTCCTTCTCGACAAGATTAAATTCCAGGTTACTTCATATTTAAAGGCTTCAGTCCCTCGGCTTTCCATCAAAACTGGCACACTTTATTCCAGGTGGCAACCCTCTCGCGTGTCTCTCTGGAGACCCCCTGAGATTGGCCTACTGAAACTGAATTTCGACGGATGCTTGTTAGGCAACTTATGCCCTTCCGGAATTGGAGGCCTCTTCCGAAAGCACCAAGTTGCTACCTTAGCCTCGTTCTCGAAATCAATTGGCCACGCAGATGCCCAAACTGCTGAAGCAGTTGCTCTCCTTGAAGGGCTCAAACTTTAAAACCCCTCTTGGAGCTCCGGATTGATAATCGAAGGGGACTTCGAGAACATCATCACTTGGGCCTCAGGCTCCTCTGAATGCCCTTGGTACTTGCTTCACATCTTCAACGAAATCACCCAACTGCTAACTCCATTTTCTCCCCTCCAGAAACACGTGTGGAGTGAGAGCAACTCAGAGGTAGATACCCTTGCCAAGGCTGGTGCTTCCCAAGCTGGAGTCTGAGTGGTCCTCTTGTAGAAGCCACTTGTAAATTTTGCAACCGCTCTAGCCCCTGCCTATCCTCTCTAGTTTCCTTTCTTTTGTATTCAAGCCTCCCCTAGAAGGGCTGTATATTGCGTCCCACCTGGGGGGAGCAAATTTTTAATTGTTTTTTACTGCCTTTAAGGAAGCACATTTTTGTACTTTATTCTCTTTAATACAATACAGTTAACGTCTTCAAAAAAAAAAAAAAAATAGAGCTTTTGTTTTTCTCTAATATTATAGCGTTGTTTGAGTGTCAAAAATAAATTTTCTGTGTCCCTAAGTCAGCGACTCCACCAAAACTCTCCCCTAAACTCCTCACTCCCCTCGATGGTCTTCCATCTCTCGGTTCTGCTATGTTTGCACAAACCTTAATTAAAAGATCTCCCACAAGTCTGCTGCAGCAGCCTTTGTAGCCAACCATGCACCAGAAAATCTCAATTTTCCAGGGATTTCTCCCCTTTAAATAATGGAGAACTGTAACTCCTTGTGCCCTGATTCAGACAATTCATCCCCTCGATCTGGAGAAATTGGCTACAAAGACCAGGGGCCAAGGAGAACCAGCAAGCTATAAGGTCAAGTTCATGTGTGCTATCAATCCTAATTCGGCTGCTCGACCCTATTGCCACTACCGTACCTGATTTGTTCCCTGTCATGGCCTCATACATCCGAGGCCCCAATCCCTCTGTCACATCCATGGTGGGTCCTCCTCTGATAAGGCCATGCCACAAACACTAACATTTCAGCAAAGCCAAATGCTTGGTTTTCCGGCTTCACCTATGGAGACAATGGTGGGCTAGCAGATGGGCTTCATAAGCCAGGTTCTTCTGGTAATAATGGTTGTCAGAGCTATGATCCATACTCGTCAAGTTCAATTTGTAGGATGCATAGTAATGGTGAGGAGAGGAAGCAGGAGATGCTTGAGTATGATGATTTGATGGCCTCTTTTGGTGTAAAGTGACGCTCTATGATAATGTCATTCAGAGAGAGTGAGGTAAAGGGAGAGAGGGTTGGGTGTGTTGGGTCTGCAGGGTGTCTCTTTATCATATAGCTCTACATTGTGAGAGAGAGAGAAAGACAGCTCATTGGTTGTCTTGGGTCTAAGAGGTTTAAGAAGAAACAGAACTTGTCGTCCCAAAAATTTTAAGTCTGATTCTGTATTTTTTTGGTTGAGGTTGGTTGCCTTGATGGGAGAGTAGAGAGTCGTGTTATCTAAACTGCCTAATGTGCAACTGGCGAAATTTTTGGTCGACAATCCACAAATCTTTTAGTTTTGGGTACAACCAAACTAGCCATAAATAAGTAAGTTGCCTTGCCAATTCTCCATCATCTAGTCATTGCAGCTACATATTGAGAACATTGATAATGTCTCTATAAAGCTGGTGTAGGAGGCAAATGGGCCAAGATTTTTGGGGAATACAGGGGTGGAGAGAGTAAGGATTTGACTAGAGTGAGCATTGAAATATCACAAGGAGAGGGTATAGAACCTCAGTTGAGTTGTAGCCATGAAAATAGAGATTTTTTCATTTTATGTTTGATCTAATCACATACGAAAATATAGGTGGTACTTCTCTTTCTTTTAGCTTGTTTACATCATGGTTTCTCTATTTTATGTTTGATCTAATCACATACGAAAATATAGATGGTACTTCTCTATCTTTTAGCTTGTTTACATCGTGGTTTCTCTTTCCTTTTTGTTACTCCTAATCACCAAAGTTTCATGTCCTCAGGCTGAGGCTGAGCAGGATATGTTGAGGAGAGAGATTCAAGAATACACGGTTCACTGTGCAGAAGAAGGTAAAAGGCTCCGAAATGATATTGAGGATAAATCACATCAATTGAATGTGAAAAAATTGGAGGCTGAAGAGTTTCTGAAGGTATGGCTCTTTTCATCTCTTTCTATTGTCTTGACCATTAGATTTTTCTGTTTCGACAATTACTATATTTTTGTGAAAGCAGCAAGTTATATTGCACGATTGGTTCGAGGAATGTAATGAGCTCAATTTTTCATACAGAAGTCTAAATTACAGTTAGGGGATGTGAGGAAGAGATATGAAGAAGAAATCCAGATATGTGGCGGCGAGCTCCTTCAACTGGTTGACTCTATATCAAAGCACAAGGAGAAGATGGAGTTGACATTCTCAGAGATGATGGGAGCTGTAAATAAAACGGCAAATGAGATTGTGGATTCCCACAAGGCCTCCTGGTTGACAAGATGGGGAAACTAGGGGTCCCTGTGTGGGCTCATGAATGAGAAGTGCACTCTCTCTTTCCTATGTATGAATGACCAGATTTGTCATCTGATTAAAAAAGAAGAAAAGACTTGGCGCTTTGGGATCTGGGACTTGTTGGTTTGGGTGTTGAGGGTCACAGCACAAATTGCATGGTTCGAATCCCTCTGCTAACCAGAAAAAAAGACAACTTGGGGCTTGACTCTTTCGCTTTGCAGTTGTACAATAATATATCGGTTTTTGACAACTCTTCTTCATTCACAGTGGTTCTCACAAAATGATATTTTATGCACTATATGATCATGACTTTATTTCATGCATCCAGTAAAGGGGGATTTGAATCGACTTCTGATGTGTCCTCGAAAATATTTTGAGTTTTGTTATTCATCTGGTTTCGTCATGTTTTGGATGTAAATGCTTGCGTGTCCCGATAAATAAATTTTGTTCTAATGATATTTGTGATCCAAGGATTAAAAACTTCGCTTGGGTGGGCAACCACACCCCTTGCTATGTTCGACTTGATCTGGTGGGCTGGCTTACTCAGAACAGTTAGCCCGGTTCAACCTTGCTAAGCTGAGAAAAAGGATTTGGAAAAAAATAAATTCGACACTTAAAAGTAAGTGAATCTGTAAAATAATTGATACCTACATGACATTTTTAATCAGCGATAAAAAAGTAGTGAATACAAACGGTCAAGTTATTGTCCAAGTGCCACAAAATACATGATATTCATGGTATCAATTAAATATCAATTTTATGTTTATATGAGACAATGATGTGATTGGCTGTTGCCCTAATGTCGTCAGGTTATTGTAGTAATTTGGCTCTAACGAGAGTGATTTGCATCAACAGAAAGCCCTTTGCCTTCATTGACTTTGACTCTTTTCTTCCCCTGCCAACGATATGCATTAATACTCTGTGTTTTTTTTATAATAAAATATTAGGTGTTATTTTACGATATGGGAATCAATATTTTTGGAGTAGTTTTTCATTCCCACGGTGAGAATAGAAAAAGAAAAATCATACTTGAATATGAGAATACCCTTTCTCATTGTATTCCAAGAACCAACAAGGAGGCCTATTCGGAGTACATGAAGTATGCAACGTGTGTGCAAGGACGCTTGAGGTACAATTTGCAGTTCATATGCTTCCTGGAGGTGTCTTTTAGCCTGCACATATGTTGGTTGGGCTCATGACTTAGTTATCATTTTATTACAAAGGGTAATGCTATTGGTTGGACTCATGGCTTCAGAAACTAGATTTTAAAAAAGCCTATGACAAGGTGGAATGAGATTTTCTTGACAGAAACATGGAATTGATGGGTTTTGGGGCTGTCTGGTGCAAATGGATTTTGGGGTGCCTTTCAACTGCCCACTTCTCTGTCTTGGTCAATGGCAAAGCCAACGGTTATTTTCAAACAACCAGGGCTTACGTCAAGACGACTCCCTTTCCCCATTTCTCTTCACCTTAGTTGCTGAAGCTTTTAGCAAAATGCTACTAGGCGTAGCTGACTGTGGAATTATCCAAGTCCTACATGCCTGGCCTAATGGAATTATTCTCAGTCATTTATAGTATGCTAACGAAACTTTGATTTTGGTGAAAGGTCTTGATAACAACATCCATAATTTTTGGTTGTTTCTAAAGGTTTATGAACTTTTTTTCCGGAGCCAGAATCAATATGGACAAATCCAAATCATTGGCATTAACTGCCATTCTTTGAGTTGTCTCATTGGGCCTCCTGGCTAGGATGCGATGTTGAATCTTTCCCTACCAAATACCTAGTACTGTCACAACGTCAGTTCCCCCATATCTCTCTAGGACCCTTTTATTCAGAGAGCACAAGTCAAGCTTGACAGGTGGAAAGCTAGATTCTTTTTTGCGGGAGGTCAGTTCTCATTAAAGCAACTATTTCTAACCAATCTATCTATGATCTTTCTCTTTCAAGCTCTTTTTTTTTTGATCCACAAGGTTGAATCCTTAATGAGGAATTTTTTTTGGAGTGGCTCACAACAAAAAAGGAAATTCCATCTTGTTAAATGGACTTCTATTTGCCTCACCAAAAATGAGGGGGGTTTAGGTATTCGAAGAATGAGGGCGGTCAACGAGTCGTTGTTGACTAAGTAATAGTGGAGGCTTTCGACTAATAGAGATCAGCTCTAGGCCAAGGCTATCTTTGGCAAGTATGACATAGACCCCAATGGCTTCATTGCTATGCAATACTCCAGATTAGTTCTTCTATCTCCTATTTAGAAGGGGATACAAGGAGTTAGGCCTTTATTCCTTTTCTTATTCAAGGATACTTTTGGGTAATGGTTACCAAACTTGTTTGTAGCATGCCAAATGGTTGGGTGACTATCCCTTTAAGCTGCTTTACCTAGAATTGTATAGCAGGTCCATACAAAAGCAGGAATTTGTAGCCAATATGGTATCTTTTTTCACTAGATCAACCTGTCTGGAACGTCAACTTCAATATTAGCAGGGTTGACCCGATTGTGGCAAATCAATTTCAGACCTTACTCGCAGTTAAGACTTTTCTTTGGCTTCTTGGTCAGAGAAAAATTATCACGATTGACCAACTTCGAAGAAGGGGTATGATTCTCACCAACATATGCCTTCTTTATAAAAGTGAGGAGAAATCCATTGATCATCTCTTCATCCACTGCCCATTTGTCGCAACTATATGGGAATGGTTGGTGTATATTGCTAATTGGATTGCGACCTGACATGACTATATTCACTCTCTGTTACAGCAGTGTTGGGCTCCTTCTTTCTCACCTCTGGGTACCAAATTATGGAGAATTTCTGTTGCAGGCCTACTACGGAACCTCTAGAAGGTACGGAGCCTGAGAATCTTTGAGAGTCGAAGCCGTGATCTACCATCCTTTCTCTTAGCAGTCCAACGGTCCATAATGGCTTGGGCTTACAGCTTCCTTCCCTTTAAAGTAGTACCTAAGGGGTTCTTCTTTGCGCACTTCAGAAACCTGATGCTTTTCAAACCCAGTCGCATGTCTCTGCGATTTGTGTGAAAGCCTCCTTCGAAAGGATGGGTTAAGCTTAATTTTGACAGCAGTGTGAAGGGTCAGAATGATCACTGTGGGTCCACAATCTGAACTTATTAAGGAAGGCTTCATCCTTGTAAAATTAATGAAGCTAAGTTATGGGCCTTGAAGATGGGCACTTTAAAATTTGACCATTCTCACCCTAGAGTCCTCATAGAAGGTGACTATACAAATGTGATTAGTTGGTGCCGGCATCCAAACACCACCCCCTGGCGCCTTAGTAGTGTTATGGATGAAATCTTGATCTTTGAAAGATTTCGATGTGTCCTTCTTGCATGTGGTTCGAGGCTTCAATTCGGAGGCGGATTTGTTAACTAACAAGGCCACATCCTAAGTTTGGGTTCCGTCTTTTCCCTTTCTTTTTTGCTCCTCTCTTCCCCTTACCCCCGGCCCTTTGGGGTGCTTTCTTTTTTGGTTTTCCTTTTGTTTTTGTACTCTTATTCGTTATTGAAGCTCGCACTTTCTCAAAAAAAGGTCATTGGGGGATGAGGGTTATGACTCAACACACATGGGAACTCCCGGGGTTATTTGCTGTTTGGCAGCACCAACAAGTGAGCTATCTGGCATAATTGTGTTCCACTTGGTGAGAAAGTATGAAATCTATGGAGTATGCTCCCATTTCTACCTCCAGCAGTGGGACCAGGTTAGGAGAATACGAACTGATATTGTATAGCCTTTTATGATGAAGCACTTCTATAGCTATACCTTTTGTTTTGTCTTTCTTTTCAGCTTTAGCTTGGTGTATAGATCGACTGTTATACGTTTGCATGAGTAATGCGTGAGTATCACAGTCCAGTCGGTATTCCATGTGGCAGCTCACCACGCAGTGGTGTTCATGATTGCAGCAAAATGGAGTAAATTAAGTGGCTTAGTCAGCTAAATTATCAAAATGTTTATATATGGTCAAATTTACAATAGTGTTGGCAAATCCGGCCGGGTCGACCCGGACCAGTCTAGGTTACTTGGAGCCGGCACCGGTTTTGGCCAATTAGGGTGGTCAAGCAGGTTTACTGCCCTAACTTCAATTTTTTTTTTAAAACAAGTATAAAAAATAAAAAAATATAATAGTTTTTTAATATTTTCTATTGTTTTGGAAAAGATTGACCATAAATATTTATTCTTTCAATTTTCATTTTTTAATTATTTTTAAAATACTTTTGGGCACAAATTGATGTTTCGAGATCCATTTTTAACTACTTTTTAAATCTCATTTTGATGCATTTTGTTTTATTATACTTTAAACATATTTTTCTTATTTTTTTTCAAATTCATTTAAATTTTTAGTACTTTTTTAACCTTTATTAACCTGGTTCAGACCTGCCTGACTAAGTCCAATCACTCACATCGGTTTTGGGTTACCTTCCCATGGCCGGTTTGTGCAATCTAATACAATATTCATACGTAAAAATGGAATTGTATATTATAAGATAATTTACTATTGTTATAAAGAGGTCACAATTGCTCTTGACATTTAAATGTCAAATCTGATGGTTTGGGATATGTCACCAAGTTTAAGAAATAATATTAAACTTTGAGTTAGTCACTGACACGCTTAGAACTTATTCCCGATCTTGTAGCTGCTATTGAAAGTTGAGTCACTCAATTGTGGATTCAAGCGGACTCCTGGGCTGGCTGTTCAAAGCTAGCTCGCTCTTTGCTTATAAGGTCACTGAACTCTCAGTGGACTTGAATTTATAGATTGACCCTAAAGCTTAACGACTGAATGAGGCTTTAACAACGCATATCGACTGAACCCGTTATTTAAGCAACACGATTGAAATCTTAGTGGTCTTGCAGGCCTCGACGAAGCGGAATTGTTGCCCTCTCCGCTACCGCTCCTCGATAAGATGCAAGAACCTGATTAAAAAAAGAGGATATTTCTTTGCTTCTGTTGCTCTTCTTTGGGACAATTACATGAGTTGAACTCCCCAATTTAAAATCCAATGTACAAGAGCAATTGTGACATCTTTATACTAATAAGTGAATGATCTCGTTGTATATTTCTTTTTAAAAAATTAAGAAAAAATAAGGAGAATGATGTGGTCCGGTTTACCCACA